TCTGGATTTCCAAACTCGGCTCTCGACGGTGAAAGAGAGCGTGCCGGGTGCTTAAATCTCTGCAGAGTATAGTGCTACTGATTTCAATGCTGTGCTGTACTAGATGCTGGATGCCTTAAAATCGGTTAGCAGCCGGAAAGCACATGTCGTAGTGTTGTCGCATTGTGATTTGGGACCCGTCCTATGGTGCGATAACGCAGCGGAGGAGTTCCGGCCTGGAACTGTGCTTCATTCTGTCAGCGCACTTGTCTTTTGATTGCCGCTAGTGTTCACGTTCGGTTCTAGGTGCGCGCTGTTGTCAGCTTCGAATTTGACATGTAATAGCCCAAGTTCGTAACCTGCGACGACTTGCAGCCCCAAATGCGAAAACTGAAAATATTGCTCAAGGTGACGATGCAGGTCGACTACTGAGTAGGTTAGGCACCTGCTGCTGCTGCTGGTGCTGCTGCTACGACGACGACGCTGACTAGACACTACGACCGAAACCATGAGCTTTACCACAACTGAGTAGTTCGACGCCGGCTTGCAGTAAGAGTTTAATGGGAAAACATGAGAGAAGCCAAGAACTCAGTACTTAGCCATGACCCGTGCTGTCCATACTGCTGTCGCAGCTTACCATGCTTGATGCTTGGGTCTTGACCATAGTGAAGGCTGTTTCTCCTCACCTTCCCTGAGAGTTGGGTTGGAGGCCAGCCTTCGATGTTCTGCAGCTGGGCTACTGCGGCGACGCCCCGCCCAAAGATGATCGGAAGATTCCCACAGTGATGCTCGGTAGAAGCAGGTGGCGTGGTTCCGGGGCTCGGAATTGGGTCTAGCATTCACGAGTTGGGGCGTCCTGCATAAGAGTGTGCATCCTATGCCCACGCTCAGGACATGTGATGTTGTAGAGTTACTCCTGACGAGTGTCAGTTTGAAAGGTCTGCGCACTGGCAGTCCATCCGTGGTGTCGAAGCTAGGAAAGGAAAACTGCAGAAGCCCAAATCGAACCAACAGTATGGGCCATATAGGCGCTTCTTCCACAGCCCTTTTGCCGTAACTCATGAGGCCCAAACCTGCTTGGAGCTTCTTCGCTTCGCTGTTTGGGATCGGCTGTGCGTCTTCTGAGCAGCTCTTCTGTCATCGTCGTCGTCATCGTGGACGTATGCTTCGCAGGTTTGAACTATAACAAACTATTAAGGCCCCTATTAATTATAAGGGTACTATAATATAGTACCCTTATAGACCCTTTTAAAGGGAACCCTACCAGACTCGCCCACGGTGTCAGGAAGTATGGGCTTCCTGGAGATGCAAAGTGCTTCCACTCGCACCTGGCATGCCTTGGTTTTCTTCGCCGGTATCTGCTAGAAGCCGCAAGAGCTGCGGGTCATAATTTTTCGGATCTCCAAGCTAAGCCCTGTGTCTGTGAAGTGCGTGCAGTTCTGCTCATTCGGCACTGCGGAAGCCTGGGCTGGGCCTTTAGGGATGTTGGATCGTTCGGGACGTGACGGATGTCGACTGTGGGTGCTTCCTCGTGGCTGGCTGAAGAGTGAAGATCTGGTCTTTGTAACGCAGCGGGCTCAAGACTTACCGATATTATTCCTTCCGGTTCCTTACTAAATATGGTTATACTGCTATGCTAGACTATGCCCCCATGCCCAACATGCTCGAATTGGTAGGGCATTCTTTTATTTGCTGCATGGCGTCGGCACACGGCCTGGGGCACGGAGAAGCGAAATCTCGTGTCTTGGAGCACCCTGAAGACAACCATCCTGCTCTGAAGGTATGTCGTGAGTTTGCCTGGGGCCCTGTTCCTGGCGAAGGTGGGACCTTCTCGGCTCAACCCCGTCAGCTCAAGATGCCGGAACGCCGTACTGGGAAGTTCATGCATGATACAGTGTTTCATCTTGTGAGCTCCCTGAACTGGAGATGTTGTGCATACCGGTACCTGAAATCCCTCATTGTGGGGAACAAGCGCGAAATTGCCATCCAGGCGTCGTAATCAATACTTCAGGACAGCTCAGCTCAGCTCTCAAGGCACCACCTGGACCTGGCCAAAGCAAAATGGCATTGGAAGAGGTTGCAAACAAGCACTAAGAGAACTACAACTAGAGCAGAACAAGTTCGTTGCTCCATATCGGATTTTGGGATCCGCAAGGTTCCATCCGCAAGGTTCCCTGTAAGCCATCGCATCCCCAGTACCCTCCCCCCGAACCCCCCGCCTTTTACTAAAGGCTCACATAAAGGGAATCCGGCCACATGACTCCGAGCGTGCAGGCGACTCCACAGGTGTACCTTGCCCTACATAGTTTGAAGTACCTTGGCATCCTTATCCTAAGACACCGGAAAAAGATTGCAAAAAGTCAAACACACATACCTGCAACTTACCTGCATACGTACATACCCATCGGCATGGTGACATCTTTTCTTTCCTGCCACGAAAAGCATGTGTCCCAGCCTCCTCGAGGCGCTTCCGCAGCGGTTCCGTTCTTCAGAAAATTCTTTGATGATTTTGCGGGCACGTACCTGTAGTGTACGACGGCTCAAAGGTTCGTTTAGCCTTAGGCTGCAGATTTGGCCTCCCGGAAGCTGACGGGGTTTGCTTGACGAACCAGACCTCGTCCATGTATATGCGTGCGTAGCTAACAACCGCATCTGCACCTTCTATGTTACAGGTTTGAGTACATGCAGATACATATGTGAGGATGCACCAGTTTCCGTTCTTGTGTTTGCCATGTTTGCTGATCGGGTGCACACGCATGTACAGAGACGAGTTTCTCTCTGGCGATCTTGACGTTCCTGTCTGCATACACTAACCCAGTGACCAGAGGGAGAGGGAGAGAGAGCCAGCGCACAATTTTTGAAGATGTGGAAGCCGGGAAGGCTAATCGGCCTTTGAAAGCAGCTCCTGGTGACATGATCGATTACCTGAAGGACTGCTTCGAAAGGATGGGCTGCTGAGTGCTTCCTGCTTGAGCGGCCCCGTTGAACAGGACCATTTTCACGTGCGACCATACGTGAGCCGGACGTGCCTTGGAAGCAGCACATGTGAGATTTAGCTCTTCGAAAACTTTCGTGATGTGGTCGGGCACCTTTCCAACACCTTATGTAAGTTTCTGCACAGATGATGCAGTGCTACGTGCCTGCGGTTTGAGCAGTCTTGCCTTGTGGCAGGGACAAGAGCACGTGGAACAGGCCGCTCAGATGCGGATTCGTCATGATTTGTGTTTTTGCTTCAGCCGGTTGAACCTAGTTGAGCGGGTTTGTCGTTGTTGTCTTCTAGAGACTTGGATTGTGGTCGGAGTGTGCGTGCACAGCTTCTATGAAAAGGAACGGAAATCTCGTTTACAGCCTCCGAAATTTAAGCACTCTCCCACCGTTTGAGCTCCATATATGTACATACACACTACAGACATAACAGCATTCAGCTTCATATTATACCACAAGCAAGTATTAGGAATTTGCTCTGTTGCGCAAGCTCACGCCAGAACTTTAAGGACATAAAACATGATAAAACCAATGGTTCACGGTCTGTATCTTGAGAGGCCCTCAAGCTCCAACATACCTCTCTGAATTACATGTGCTGTGTCTTAGGCAAATGTCTCTGCCTGGATCGTTCTGGAGCCTGGATCCCGCCTTGACATGGCAGTACCCAGAGGCCGCAAAGTAGTTCCTTTTGGGGATTACCTTATAGGATTCTATATGAAACCCTAAACCCTAAACCCCCAAAAGGAACTACTTTGGTGCCTTTGCGTAATGCCGGGGCGGAACTTCCGCTCTTTCGATACGTCATCTTTGCGACACATCTTCGGGCCCAGAAATGAGTGTGTAGGGTTTAGGATGTAGGGTTTAGGATTTAGAGTTTAGGGTTTAGGGACATGCGATTCGGATTCATACTTGTGACTACAGTGGTGGCTGCAGTTTCGCAGTAGTATCATCAGTTGGCAGATGTTGTCACTGAAGAACGTGGCAAAGAACTGTAAATTGGTATTCCTCGGCGTACAAGTTCGTAGGGGAACACAGCCAGGATAGCAGTCGTAGACACGGCATCATCATGATACCTTATGATACAAGAGAAGAGGAAGCATCCTCTCAGGGCATGTGGATAGCACATTCCGCAAGACAAGAAGTTCAGAGTCTGCTTCATCTCCGAAAGGGATGAATGAGGACAGCCTTGTCCTTTTTCATGGTTCCCCCAAAAGAATAAACAGACCGGCTAGTAGACCTTCTTAAATAATTCCTACTAAGGGATATAGGTATAATCGGGCTCTGTCTATTATCTCTAAAAGGACAAGGATGAATGAGGATCCCGGCGCCTCTGGCAGACCAGGCTACACCTCCAAGCCTCTGAACAGAGTTGGGCCTGGGGGCCTTGGCAGATGCTGTGAGTTTCAGGTGCAGGCTCTCGTAGACGTCGAGGAGAAAAGGTGCGTGTTTGTCCATGTTCTGCTTGGCAGCACGTCACACTGTGTTATAACATAACCTATATAATACTGATATATAGCATGCTAGAATGTAATGGGCATCAGTCAGTCTAGACAGCCCGACCTTCGTGTCTGGTGGCAGACAGGTCCGAGAGTTCCAATCTTTCTCACATTGCAGAGCTTTCGAAATCAAGAGCCCAAAGCGTGGTTTTCATGGTTTCACAGGGAACCCCCCTAAACCCTAAACCCTAGACCTTAAACCCTAAACCCTAAATCCTAAACCCTAAACCCAAAACCCTAAACCCTTGTACGCAATTTGATCTCGGGTTTTGCAGACTGAAGGTTGGCCTGGCAAGACCAACTCATACCAATTACATTACATGGGAGTTTCCGAAAATTAGGGGTACCTTATTTGGGGGTCCTTATAATAAGGATCCTAGTATTTGGGGTACTATATTAGGGTCCCTATTTTCGGAAACTCCCATATTATAGTATGGCAGATTACATTATGTCGTATTATAATACAGTGTGACTGGGCTTACGTTTAGGGCCTTGGCTTACTTTCCTTTAGGAGCAGGTTTTATGCTTTTTGGCCTTCAGGTCTGACCTCGCAGCTCTCTGGCGACAGGCCTTTGGCCCCACGCGGGATGTGCCGACCAGGTGGGGGGGTTCATGTGGGCTTCTCTGGCCCCCAGGCGCAGCACTCGTGCTGCTGCACAGGGCCAGAGGCTAGCAGCTTGAGGTTGGTGGCCGTGCGGCTGAATTCGGCTCGGTGTTTGCCAAGGCCTCCAAAATTGTTAAGACCATCAACACACGCACAGTGCAGCCTAATGCTACACTCGTTAACCGTAACATGGGAGACCCGACCATGTCGAAGACCCTGAAAACACCCCGCACCCCGAGGTAGAAATGCAAAAAACCCTCTAAACCCCGCCCCCAGCATCAATGGGCAGGTTCTTGGCTTCGTTGGTATCCACGTGCGAGTGCGGGTCTTGGCTCCGGTCTGCTTTAAGGGAAATAAGCGTTCAGAATCAGTTTATAGTACAAGGTATGGTCTTGTTCTTCATACTAGGCGAAAGACACTGTACCCCAAAGCCGTGCTTCACTATCTGTTCTCAGGGCCGTCCGTAGCTGCTTCCTGACCCACACTTGTACGAAACGTTGCCCAGGAATCTAATTGGCTCATGTAGGAGGGAAAAAGTTGGCTCATGTAAACCCTAAACCCTACACCCCTAAACATCAGATCGAACCCTTCACGTGCCTTGCAGAGTCTCTAACTGGGGTTAAGTAGTTCCTGCAAGTGGCTCATGCTTTACAAAGTGAGTGCTACCCTGAACTCTACCATGTAACCTTGGGCCGGGACTCTAGACAAGACAGGGAGAGAGATAGAGAGACAATATTTTCACATGTACAATAAAAAGGTTTTTTGACCCCAGAGTGTTTGGTTTGTACATTGGTTGTTCTTCAAGACCCCAAATTGCGCAATGCAGAGGTGAGTCAAGTTTTCGAAGAAGCGGGGCAGTGAAACTCTAAACTTCTGACCCCTCTAAAGGACCCCTTGGGGCGCAAGCCTTACGCCTTACGCCCCGAATATAGACGTCGGACACGCGATGGAGCTGGGCAGGTCAGGTGACGTCCATGGGAACTATATGGGAACCCATTCCCAATAATTTGGCAACGCCTGTTTCTCTCGACTAGATCGTGGGACCCTGGCTCTGATTCTTCTCGAGCGTAGATCCCTGACGAGTCAAAGCCCTAAACCGATTCCACGTCAGTCTGCTGAGGGCATTGCCTCGGTCGCAGCTTCTGCAAGCTTTCGCTGAAGCCTCAGTGCATCAATCAGTGCATAAGCTCGAATAGGATTCAAGGCTGGAGGGGGTGTACTGGTGTTGTGATGCTAGTTTCGGAGTTTGTAAATGATGTTTCCACGAGGCTTGGTTGGCACTCGCAGGGATGCTAGCGATTGGACCGTGCGGAAAGTTTCGTCTATCCTGTCTTAGTCAAGGTGTCAACATTTATCGCCCGGGATTTTTCGGACAATACTTCACTAAATGAGCATGTAGCTCCAAGAAGCTCTAGTGAAAGCTCAACCTTCGAGGTGCTGTAGGAAGAATGCAGCGATATCAAACCCTCGTAGGGTTGCATTGATGCCATCCAGGCCTTCTGCGCCCCCCGTGTGACTTTCCGGGAGTGGTCCAATGCTGCAACCTGGCCTGACAGGATAGAATCGAGGGGTGTGCAGCTTGTGGCCGTCGGCATGTTTAAGGCCGAGTCGCTTTCAACATGTTTCGAATCTGAAGCCGCGAGATGGGACTTCCCAGCTTTGGGTGAAAAGGGCATGCGCAGGCCAAGCTTGCAAGCAGCAGGTCTTGCAGAGCCTTCTACAATCTACGGCTCAAGTGTTTCTTCCTATGATTCTCCATCCCAGTTTCTGATCGGATGGCAGTTCTTCAGGCTTCTGTACTAAAGCCATATAATGCCCGTTATGGTAATTCTTATACAAAGTCTTCAGATGAACACTTAAGTATTTCAAGCCTCATAACGTTCCTGGGGCAATTGAGGTGCTCTTGGCCTACGAAAGGCAGGGCGGGAAGGAACTGGCGATGCATGAGCAGGGAATTGTCGTAAATGAGGGCTATCGAAGGGTCATCGCTTATAGTGAATACCTGCTGACTTCAACAGATGTAGTCAGAGAAGGACCCTTGGCGGAGTCCTAGGTCCTATTGTTTCGATGAGTTATGTTTTTCACCAGTGCCAAGCAGAAGTCTTCTCCCGCCCGACACACACACACACACACACACACCGCAAACCTCGCCTTCAAGCCCGAGTTTCATGTGCCAACGGCACTGCACACGGCGTGTTGGATTGCCTCACTTTTGCGAGATCCATAGTGGAGAAGTTCTTGGTCTTGGTGAACGACCCCCTTGTGACATCTGAGCCCTTGAAACCTGATTGCGGTGGAGGTTCAGCTTCTTCCTGACATTTCCGTTACCGCACTATGTACGTAACTATGATAGCTACTGAAACTACTGACTGTGCTTGCAGTTGGATATACGTACGTTTCGAGATATATTGAGTACTATAAATATTAGTATCATTAGCTAGTACTTTAATTTGTAGTATTCGTTTTGGAAGCGTGTCAAGGACTAATTAAGCCTCAAACCCTAAACTCAGTAGCTGAGGCGAAACTGCAAGTTGCATGGACAATTAGTAAATCGAAGAATGTGGAGGTCGATGAGAAGAAGCACGAGTGAGTCGTGCAATCCTAGTCGGCATTTTGCTGCAACTCAGAAGCCATTGGGAAGCTAAACCGCGAGGCTCGCCGACCTGGCTCTGACATTGCGGAGCGGCGGGAAGCAGCTCCGGCAGCAGACGCAGTGTGGTGTTTCGGGCGTAAGATTCATGGTTTAGAGCTAGGCCCCCTTCTATCAGCCATCTTCAGCCTCTTGCGTCAATACGATGCTTCTTTAGACGTGCCCACCCCAAGCCGCGACTCAAAGAGCTTAAGGGTTTCGGGCCGAGGGTTCAGGCTTTCAGAAGACTGTCGATGCTTGATTCGTTCGTGTGTTTCTGCCACTCCTTCGGTTGCATCCCTCGTGAGGGCGAGAAGGCTCTGCTGTTGAGCAGTGTTCACTGGCACACAATCCAAGCTCCTGCTGAAAAAGGTTTCTTGTATAGGATACAGTGAGCTTCATGCAAGGGCCTGCAAGTGTTCCGGAAACTGTACCTTCCGGGCATGAACATACCGAGGCCCCAACTTGCTGGCATAGCTACGGGAGGGTGTGTCAGGTGGGATATGTGCAGTTCGGGCTGGGTATGGCAATTTGAGAGCGGCTTTTTTAGCAAGACGGTGCTTCTGTGTAGACGGCCATAAACGGAGGCCATGAAAGTCATTTCGAGCAACATTGGTGTTCCAGGCGGTTTCCTCGGCCAGATCAGGACGTCGTGATGAAGGAGAGTATGCTTGCTTCGCAAGTTTGGATGCAAAGTTGGCAGCCAGAACTTGCAAAGTCTGATCTTCAGCAAAAATCGATACCCTTCTTGGCATTCGGCCATGGGGCCCCGATGTTGGAGCCTACCAGACCCAACAGATCCTATCGACACGGTAGTTGGGTTTTTTAGGTTCGGGCGAATGGTTGGAGGCAGTGCGGAGCCGGAGCACCAGATGGTCGATTGTCCGAGGTTGTAGGAGGCGCAGGACGTTTAATTTAGGCTTCGTTCGCTAGTTTGCCAGCCCTGAGTCCGCACACCGCAGCTTCCATGTCAGGGCTTCGGGAGGCTGAAGACATTCCCACTCAATAACCCCTTGCCACCAGCCTCAAAGTCTTAACGCCTACTTCGACTGTTCTCTACTCCACTACGAGAGGAACTCTTTAAATTTGATTCCTTTTACAGCTATGACGGCCGACACGGCCAGCGAACCAGCTGCGCCGGTCAGCGCACCCATGGCAAGCTTACGAGACTCGGAGTAAGGGCGCTGGTTCTCTTACCTTTGGTTAGTAGGGAATGGAGGAATTGGGTACCAATATAATTACTATTACTACCATTCTTCCATTCCCTGCTAACCAAAGGTAAGGTAAGGGCGCTGGTTCTGTTGGAAGGCTTGCCATGGAGTTCAGGATCTGGAGCGAACAATCAGGCTTGCGAAGTATTTGGGGGCTTTGGATATGCAAGGATTTGGGGGCTGGTTTGGGTTTCTGAGCACCTTCTGGCTTAAGTTGGGGCTCGACATTATGCAACCTGTTTTGTTCAAGTGAAAGATTGGTACTATTCCAGGTAAACCGAACCCCTCTAAGCCAGGTACCCCTGGCTGCAAGGCTGGAGCTCTCGATCTTGATGTTGACTTCGTAGTTTTAGTGCACAGGGCTCTGGCAGGTATTGAAGTTTGCTTCATCATGTTGTGTTCTTGGGTTTGTGTAGGCTGGCACTAACTGCGAACCGACAGACCTCATCTGGCTGTGACGATTTGTGAGAGCATAACCCTACAACCCTTTAGATTGAACCCTGCCAAGGCCCCTTCTGCATGACCCCACATGCCATACCGCCCCGCCTATGCCTCAAACCGCTGAGCGCATGAAGTGCATGGCAAGCCTGACATGACTCAGAAGGGTTGCATGATACCGAGTTTGGAGAGCGTTGAGATGTCACTATGCCGGCTTAGAGTTTAGGGTCCAGGGTTTCAGAGTGCTCAAAAACAGTGTGGGGTTAAACGGTGCGCAGGGTGCAGGTTTCGGCCTCCGGTGTGAAGCCCAGTCAGTCAAGAGCCTAGGAAGCAACCGCCACTTCCTCACAGTGGTTTGCGTGGGCTTTTGCTTCGTATTCTTGAACCGGGCGCTCTTCTACGACTTGGCTCCTTGTTTGGATCAGATGATCAGATGACTCGAGCCATGGAAGTAGCTTTCAGCCGTAGAGTGCAGGGTAGAATATATAGTTGCAGGAATCTACCTTCCATCGGCCGTTGTTCTGCAGACGGTGTCCTTTCACATCTTTGCAACTCCTGTGCCCCCTGCGCATCTATCAGCTGTGCTTGATTGGGTTTTCGAGCTCTGGGATTGAGCGCCTGCAGCTGCTGAGGTCGCCTCTTCTGCGCGTTAAACAAAACGAGACACAACTCTTGCAATCCTAATGTCTAGCACTACAAGAACTCCACGCCCGGAATCCTACGCTCTAAGCCATTTAGAAGGCAATAGATAGATTCACCTAGCTGCTTGCCTCGCTGGGAGTTGTGGGTGCAAAACCGACCCGAACCGAAAGCCTTGAACCCCAAACCCTAATCCGTCGAGCTAACCCGTTCTCTCGCGCCTGCTGTGTAGATCACTGGCTGTCACTGGCTGCTAGCTGCATGTCAATCTTATAGGGGCTCCAAAGGCTTTTTGAACCAAAGGCTGAAGGACCTGTGCCACCCACCTTCATGACCTCATCGAGGGTGACAGACGCGTGACGTATACCTAGCCCTACACTCCTAACTGCGCATATGAGGGCTCCTCTGGATGGAAGCCTCCACATCTCTTAGGAGAATTCCTTTCTCATGTCCATCGTCTACTGCGACGATCCGACCCCGCCTTGCCCGCAAGGGTCAGTCCAGCTGGAGGATGCGAGCCTCGCCTGCCTACTCAGGAGGTCTGATTCATTTTCTAAAACACCACTCTAGTTCAAGCTCGCATGTAGATAATACTCGTGTAATTACTCAGTTTTTATCAAAGTTGTATCCCCTCCCCAAAAAAGCCGCCAAATGGTTCGGGGTGTTGTTGCGTGCCAGATTTCTGTTAGGACCTAGGTGAATGCTGACCCACGATTCAGTGAATAATTTGGGTGTGGACATAGGCACCCTAAACCCTAAGGCCCGGGGTCTAAGAAGGGGTCCAAGCTTCTCATCTTTGGCCTAGGTGCCTCGCGGAGTCTCCAAGCTCCCCCAAGCGACTCGGAGTTATTTAAGCTTTCAATTCGGTACCCAGAGGCCACAAAGTAGTTCCTTTTTTGCATTACCTTATAGGATTCTACATACGAACCGCAAAAAGGAACTACTTTGGGGCCTTTGGGTAGGTGTGGGTCAGCTGTTATGATGGGCCCAAAGGAGCCGGCTAAGAAAGATCAGAGAAATTTGGCCAAGGAAGGAACGGGAGCACCTGTCGCATGTCTTGAGCCGCCCGAGTCGTGGCTTCGGCGCTCTAGGGCTCGTTCAGTGTGCCTTTACCTCGTAAGACATGGGTGGTCGTCAAAATTATGGTCCATTTTTAGGTCCCTAACATAACACGGCACCTTATTAGTTAAGGTGCCCAAAAAAGGGACCCTAGTTTCGACAACTACTCACATGTCTGATGTCGCAGCATTGCAACCGGGATGGTGTGAATAGAGATCTACTTCATCGTGCCCAAGGTGGTCCTTCTCGAAGCACTGTGCTGTACGAACCCGAGTGCCTTGGACCTGCGCTAGCCAACGGTTGAGAATGGTTGAGACCCCTTTTCATCCCCAGGATCTGACATGGACCAGAAGACAAAAACGCAGAGCTGCAGCGACCTTTGTCAAACCCCGTACATTGTCTCCGAACTGACCAAACAACGGCAAGCTTCGTTCCGCTCTGTCTCCGCAGGTTTTGAATGCCGCAAGGTCTGCGATGTCCGTGATTTCCACAGCGGAGGGGGAGACTCGGCATGGTGTTGAGCTGGGGCAGAGACCTGCAGAAGTGCAGGCGAAGAAAGATTGCCGGAAGTACCTGCCCTCCAGCTGTAGTAGGGGATGTCTTTTCTGGGAAAAACATATGCGAGTGTGATTGCATCAATCCTGTATCGAAAGTCAGCTTCTTCAGATCATGTGAGCCAACAGGGGTGTTTTGTTCGGTGAGGCACTGTTTGTGTCGGTTGCGTACTGATTACCAACAAAGCGGAGCCTGACCCAGTCTGCCTGGACCTTAAAAGGTAATCTGTTCTGGTTTGGCCGGGTCAGGGTATACCTTCTATGATACTTGGCCAACAAGAAACGGCAAAGAGCTTCTGGTGCCCCAAGCCCTAGCAAGGACCACATGTGCTGTTGAAAGAGGCGTGGTTTTTATATGTTCTTAAGTTGATAGGCCCCTCCTTGCCCCTCCCTTTTTTGAGTATATTGATGCCAATGTGACGAAACGTAGCGGCAGTAGTCGTCGTCGTAGTAGATATAGGAGTCATGGTGGCAGAAGCAGCAGCATTGGTAGCTGCAGCTGCAGCAGTAGTAACTCGCAATCACAGTAGTCTTAGCTTTGGGATGGCCTGAGGTCGGCAACGCTGTGGCCGTGATTTTCCTGGGGCCACTGCTGGATTGGCACCAGTGCTTCCAGTTTAGCTAAGTAGGAAAGAAATCCAGCTTTTCGTTCGTTTCTGCAATGCTCGTACTTGTAGAGTTTTTGGCTTTTCGGCTATCGGCCTGTGTACGATGCACTTGTCGAGCTTCTCGATGCTTTTCGGTTTTTTGCTTTTGGTCTGTGCGCGCCTTTCTGCGCTAGTTCCAGCTTTCTACTTTTCGACTTGTGGTTTGTTTCTATTTCTGCACTCTTTGCTCTTTGAAGGTTTTCTGTCCAAGTTCTGACTTAATTTTTCAATACTTTTGTCCAATTTGGGTCTGGTAGAACGTGCGCCCGCAAGCACCAAACAGTAGCCAACACTAACAGCAGCCAATAAGTAGCCAAAACATAGACATGTTGGTTGAACTTCCCAGATCCCTTGTAATGGTCTTTTGACCAGAACCATTGAGGTTTTAGTTTCGCCTTCTCGTTTGCCTTTGGATGTTCACTTTTTCTATAACTGTCGAAATTTTGACTTGTCGACGTTGTTACATTTTGACTTCATTTTCGCCCCTTGCGGTGTTTTCGACTTTCCGCAGCTTGTCTGGTCTTGTCGAGATGTTTCAGGAGTTGTCGACTTTTCGTCGATTCGGGTGTTTTGGTTATTCGTGCAAACTCGCTATCAAATGCAGGGTTCACGCTTTTCGCCTTTCCGCGTGCCGTTTGGCATTCTCCACTTATCCGTGCCTACAGCCATTCCGGAAACTCCGTGGTAGTTTAGGGCTGTGGGGCTTCGTGGCAGAGGTGGCTGGGAGGTCTAAGGCGTCGGTAAACGCTCTTTCGCTTGGCGACTTAGAGTATCATCTGTGGGTCTCGCAGAAGCTGGTCGGATTCTGGAATGTTGGAAAGATTTTCTAGATTCTAGGTAAGTCCTCGTTGCCTTTGAGGATTCAACTCAATTTGAGAAGGCTTCAAACATATTGTGGATTATATACAAACTTGAATGTATATGTCGGCTCATGTTTCTAAACGCTAAACCCTGAACCCCGAACCCTATATGCGACGGTGCATTCATGTCACGCGTTTTGGGCCAAAGCCCGAAGCTTGCTCAGGCATGGCCGCAAGCCCTTTCTCCTCCTCGCCTTTGTCGGACGGCATTTAGGGCTCAGGGTTTTGGCCCCTAAACCCTAGACCCCCAACC